ATTATTTAACGTGGTCAAAAACACAATATTTCCCTACAGTGTAAATTGTGAAAGTGATTCAACCCATTCATCCCTCACATCCTGAAAATCCCCCCAAAGCAGATAGACTTGACGTGTAGAACTGTGGCCTGAACAGTTAAAAATCAGACAAAGCTGCAAAGTGATTAAAGGGAGTGAGAAGTGTCAGCCAACCTTATCCACAGGTGGTGCTTCCTACCCTGGCTTTGAGAAGAGGAAATTTAAATAGGTAATTTATGTAAAGGGAATTCCTTAGCAGTGTTACTGTTGATAGTTATTTATGATAGCTACATCATAAATAAATTACCCAGAATTTTGGTGAAATTTTAGACCTTGAGACCAAAGGTGTAAGAGGTAACTGGAAGAGTGGATTTTGTGAGGATTTTGTACTTGCTGAGGTGCTCTGGGACTGGTTGGTTTAGTCAATACAAATTGTGCTGTATCTGATGACTCCTGTGAGACAGAGCAGGAGGGTCATTGACACCAAGAGTTCTCTTGACTCTTGATATGGGAGAGAAGAATTTGAACTGCACTGGTGTTTGGCTTTTATCTTTCTCAGGATAATCATGGTGTGTTTAATGGCTATATGTGTGAAGCATTTTGTTTAGGTAATTGAGTTTAGGATGTGGCTTTGGAATTCAGGGGGAGGAAGATGTATAATTACAACCAATATTACTCTTCTTGAGCCCTTAGAGAATTCAAGACATGCAAATGCTAAGTCGGGGAGTGGAAATGTCATCCTTCAAAGACACGTGAAATGCAAGGACTGTGATAAAAGTGTTGTGCACTTTGAGGTATCTGAGTTACAAAGAATGCTTGTAGTTCATGGAATTATATCCATGAATCTTTTAATATACTCAGGTTATTCTTTATTTCCTATGGAGCATTGCAGAATTCGTTTCCCTGGAGGTGACTGAAGTAAGGCTGGAAAAAATCCTACCTGATCTTTAATAATCCTTCACACATATGGTAATACTCCTGAATTGCACTATCATTGGATAATTTACACGTAAATCCTTTCATTTCTGTGCTTTCACCTTCAAAAAAAAATCCACTAGTGTTATGGGGAGCCAAGGATTGCACACTTGAAATACCTTGGCCTTGCTGCCAGTTCAGTCTCACCTGCTTACACTGATTTATTGTAGTTTTGGGGTTTTTTTTCAGAGGGCAAGACTGAAAAATACATTTCTCCCATTATAGTTAATAGATTCAGGAAGTAATTTGCAGATCAGGAAACAATGGATCTCATATAATAAACGCACTGCCTAGGTAATTCATAAGGAAGATAAACTTGTATTGTTAAGCTTGCACATTTTACTCTTATTTGTAGGCCATGTATTGCTCTCCTGTGCTTTCCACCATTAAGCAGTAACATTATTGCATTAGTAAAAAAGCACTGCTGCTTTGACTGGCTTTCAGAACCACACACAAAATCAGATAATGCATTTTACTGAATTATGAAGGACTGTGTTATTTGTTTATAACTGCTCACTTAGTTATTGCTCTCAGGGCTCCGTGTTACAATTTAATCACTTCCCTGCATCTCCGGAGTTCTCACAGGCTGGCAGTGAAGGGGCCAGGCAGAGTGAGTGGCAGCTAAGTGTTTCAATCAGTCAGGATGCTGATTTATTTCTGTGAGGAGGAGTGTAAAGGAAATAGGAATGGCTGTTTTTTGTAAGTGATGCGCTGAGCAGTCATCATTTAAACACTGGAGGTCACACATAAGCACTGAAATCTTGAGAAAAGGGAAAAAAAAAACCCCAGAGGAGTGTGTGTCACCCTCAGTGCACACAGGCTTGGGGAAGTGTGTGGTGCTCAGCACAAAATGCAGCACAAAGGGTGAGTCTGGAATCCTTTCACTTACAGGGTTTTCCTCACAAAAGAACATATATGAAGCATTAAAAGGCAGGGTGTTAGGCATTCTTTGTTGTCTAGTTACTGTAAACAGCTGTGAAGATTTTAACTGTATTCAGGATTCTGGCATTGCAGAATGTTTAGACTGGACCCAAAGAATTGGAATAGGGCAGGTAGTGTAAATATCTGTGCAAACGGATCCCTTTTGGAGTTAGAAATATAATTAACTTGAGCAAAACTAGGAGTAAAAACATTGTGGAATATTATATCTGTGCTTTAAAGATATTCATAGGTATGCCTGAGATAGGAACAGATACATTAAAGTTTTCATTGCCTACTTTGAGGCAATAGAAATCATCTCATTTTATGTCATCCTTGAAGTGCTGGTTTTAATCTGAAAAAAATAATTCTTTTTAGATAGTCAAAACAATAAATGTTCTACAGCCAACCTGACAGCATTAGAAAATTCAACTAAAGTTTTTTGCTAATGGTGTATCATTCCTTCTGTATTACATCTGAACTCATACAGATATAAGATCCAGAGGAAGCCAGCAGATAGTTTTGAATGAAATTAGGTCTTTCTAAGATGTTAAACCTCCAGAGCCCACTGAAAATCTGTGCTCAACAATCACTGCTTTTATAGCGAGGAAGATAGCTTAGCTATCAGGAGACTGCTTTAGTGGGGTATTCCCTAGAAAGCCCCCTGTAGCCTAGCCTACATTTCATCTTCTTTTTCTAACCCAAATCCTGAGGTTATCAAACACTTTCATAAAACGTATGCACTAAAATTTGATGAAAATGTGGCTACATAGAGAAAGAAGTACTTTAGGAGAAGCTTTTAGTGCTGACAATAGAGAAACTTTTTACTGTCTCATGAAAAAACTGAGACTCTGACTGCGAGGAGAGAAAGGGGGACTTGCCTCTTGGTCAGAGGAGAAATCTCTTGGTTTGCTGCTAAATGCACTCAGGGGAAGTGAAGGTATCTGCAGTGTAAAATAATGAAATATAAAAGCAGCCCTTGCTATTGCAGGGACTGGATGGCAAAGGAGAAGCCCCACTTTTTGTTTACACTGATTTCTGGATGGTTTATGCATCCAGATGCATTGATATTTCTTTTGATGGTGCCCATTAAGATACAGATTTTGAGGCCTATTTTGTCTCTTTCACAAGGAAAGTGTATGATATGTTGATAGATGTATGATCATGATAATTTTGGAAGATGAAGGAGAAGACAAAATGTGCTGTGGGCAGGAAACAGCTACTTCAGCATTTCTTTTCCCTCCTGTCTTTTTTTTTCCTGAGCTAACAGTCCATTCAGCCTGAATACAGATCTATTCTTAATGTGTTCAACTGCATTATTTAGCCCACCACTGCAAGCCAAATTGTTATCCGTGGAGATGGAATTGCTAAGTTGATTTAATGGAGCTTTGTTGATCGGGAATTTCATTTATATCTTGTCTTGGATGTGTCCACTGTTGCTTCTTTGTGTTTAGGACGTGTGATTTTGGCCAAAAGGCACAAATTTACACTAAGAGCAGCTCTTGAGCTCCTGGATACCTGCAAGGAGACTCTTGTCTTGTGAGAAGCACTTAAAAACTTGCTGTTAAGTTCTGTAGTGCCTCTGTTTTCAGCACATCGATCCTTTGGAAGTGAAGCCCTGAAGGAACAGATCTCTGTTGTGCTCCCTGGCTGTGAGTAATTACTGAGAACCACAGAAAATAAAACCTGAGTGGTTTATTCATAACCTGCTGGCTCCTGCATGGTTGGAATGGGAATCACCAGTTGAAAACACAGCCGGCCACTGGCTGAAAAGATCTGCAGTGGTTAAAAACACTGAGAGAGAGAGAGAGGTACCAAATAGTCCCCTGGAAGGATATGGAGAAGGGTTACGTGAGAGAGGGAATTTGCAAGCCTGGGATGTGTTTTTCCCTACAGTATCTATTTCCATTTTCTGTGAAATGGCTTTCAATATTCAGGTTATTTCACATTTTGTTATAATCTCTTGGATGGAGATCAGATATGAGATTTATAGTCTGAAAACAGGGTGAAATGGTTCTTGATGGTGTCAGGAACATTTGCAAGGTTTTAGCAGCTGATACGGTGCAGATGAGTGGATAATACAAATAATAACATTTATTATCTCTATTGCTATCCCATTCCCCAGAATTGTGTAGGTGGATTGGAGACCTCCTTGCCTTCATTTTCCCCCATGGTTGCAGGCACTGTATCAAAAAGGAAAAAAATCCCAAATGATGTTTCAGAATGCTTGATAGTGGATACACTTGAGTTTTCTGATGAGGAAAAAGCAGAGTGATGTGACTGATTATGAGCTAGTCATTGGTGTCACTGGTCAAATATCAACAGCATCTGCTCCTTTCTCTCTCATTCATTAAATCACACAACTAATTGCATATTCAAGGTGACATTTTAACAACAAATAATTGGCTTTGGAGAAGTCTGTGTGGCCCAGGTTTGGGAGGGCACTTGGACCTACCCCTGAAGATGCTTTTTTGGCAGCAGTGTGTGGTGATACAGATAGAAATGGGATGAGTACAAGTTATTAGTGGTCTAAGAATAGTATGTGTGATAAAATTACAATCTCACAGCTGACCCACCTTCCTCAAGCAATGTATCCAGTAATCCTTTCCAGATTGTTTTTCCTTATCTAATACAAGAGCAAATAAACTTTGTCTACTGAGCAAAGTAACCCTCTCACCCGGCTTGAGTGGGACTTACATGGACACTTAGACTTTCTGTAACAGTTTTTTTTCAGGATCAGGCTTGTTTGCAAGATTTCTTAATAGAAAATGAAAAAGTTCTGTTACTTTTGAGCATTTAAAGTTTTCTGCTCTCTAACAGCTTTCTAGTTTCCCTTGGTTTCTCCATAAAATCTGTTCTTTCCCAAATTATTCTGTCTCCTCAGAGCAATCTTCAGCTAAAAGTGAGGACAGATTTGCACCATGAACAGTTCAGTGTCTTGAAGCTGAGATTTGTGTTAGGGAAAATATGATGTGATGCAAGGATAAAAGGTGGTCTTGCCCAGATTCCCATGTTTGTCCATAATTAAGGTATTTCTTTCCTATTAGTTTCAAAGGATTTATTTCTAGTCAGGAGTTAAATGGACCCATTCAGTGTTTATATTTATGCAAATGATGATTGTGTCACTCGGGTTGCAACATTAAAGAAAAAAAGCCAGATATTTTACATGCCTTTGAGTATTGAAGTGATTACAATTACCTACATAAAAGGAGTTGCTTTATTAATTAATTAACTTGGAGAAAAATGTCTAGTGACCCTCTGAAGGAATATCAATAACTGAAACATTAATTATGTAAATAAGATCTGCCTTTACTGTTCATTATTCATCGTTTAACATGAAAATTGCCTTTTTAAATAATGCTTCATTCATATATTTCAATAAATGTCTAGTCTGCCTAGCTTTTCACTTGGAGCTAGATTTTGAGTCAAAAAGCTGTAGTGACATCAATGTAGACCTTGGGACACTCCTTTGAGCCACCAACACCCAGTTCCTGATTTCTGGGCTGGCATTTTTTTGGGGATGGGTTCTCTGAGGCAGCAAATCCCCTTTGGGAATGAGTTCTTGCAAAATTCTTGTCTGGAGAGACAAAGTTGCTGCATTTCATGGGTGAGGAAGGAGAGGAAAGAAGCAGCAAAATACTTGCAGAGCTTTTGTGACTTTCCCTTGGTTCCAGAAGGGAGGCTGCAGAACCAGCCCAGCTCCAAGTCCTGCTGAGTTGTGGAATTACATTTTTCTCTGTCAGAGAAAGCAATACCAAGGCAAACAAATACCACAAGGAAAACAAGGTTAGCCCACGTGTTTGGTAACTCTGATCTTGCACACTCAGTAAACTTTCTGGTCCTTTTTACATTTTGAAGATGTGACTGAATGCCTCCTGGCAAATGCTGCAGGTGATTTCATACAGGTTATGAGAATCCTTTCCTTGTAAAGAGCTCTGCCTTTTTGTTTTCTAAAGTTTCACTGAGTGTGCTAGAAAATTCCGATGGAGCATTCCTGGAGGTTTTATTCCTTTTTCCATCCCTAAAGACAACACACAAAGGTTTCCAGGGTTACTTTTTGCTCAGGTGGCTGTGAGTGCACCTGTAAGAGGAGACAGAGGAAGAGCTGCGTTTCTTTCTCACAATCTCAAAGGCTGTGCTGCACATAATCTTGAGTGTACAGACAAAAAATAGTAGTTGTGCAGTCCCAGAAAATCCTTTACTCTCCACTCCCTGAAGAGCACCTGCTTATGAGCACAAGACATTCAGATTCCCTTTTTTTAATGCCTCAGAAGTCGCTTTGCCCATAGCTGGAAGGGCTGATGAAGAAATATGTGTGTCCCCCCCCCCTTTCCCTTGTAGCGTGATGGATTGTGGAAGTCCTGATTGAAAATTCTAATCACAGCCCTGCAGTCCTTCAGATCACAACCCCTGACAGTTGATTCACTCCTTTTCATGCCTGCTGCCTCTGACTGCTCCTGGTGCCTCGTCTGCATGAGTCTATCATTAGCACACAAAGCATGATGGATTGGCCGGGGTACCTCTGTCCTCAGAACCTGGGAAATGCTTCTCTTTCAGAATCAAAGAACCCGTGTGTGACATCGTCATGAACGAGAGAAGAAAGTAATTCAGTGTTGGAGGTGCCTGTTTGCTGCCACTGTTTAGAGGGAAAATGATGCCTTATGGGGACTGTAAGTACCTGGCCCGTTTGTTTGGGGTTTGGCTGCTCGCTGGGAGCGATGCAGAAAATCACGGGTGTGGAGCAGGGCATGAGCTGAGCCTGGCAAGTGCACAGCAGGTGTAATACTTTTTGGAAATCAGGGCTGTAAACACTTCCAGAATTCTACTTAAAGTTCAGCCTGTTAATGAAGTCATTTAACTTTCAGTGGGATCTGATGGCCAAGATGATTACGGTGGCTTTTGGTGCTCACTGTGGGTTGGGTTCACTTTGGTGGATTCTCTTCCACAGACCTTTTCAACAGGAAACTTTTGCAAATGTTTGCATCTTGCAAATGCTTTTATTCATCTGTGTGACTTGGCATTTAATGTTTCAGTGAACAAGACAGTTAAGTTTTGGCTCCAGTGTAAGATTGATAGGAACAATTTTCGAATGTGGTATCACAACAAAGTGAAAATATGTCATGTTCAAATACTGAGCTCTGATGCGTCATGTGGTCTTGTAATAAATGAAACAGCACTACCAACCTGACAGATGTGCAAGAAAACAGTTTTAAATTTATGATGATTAATTTTCAAGATGAACTGCAATGAAAAAAATGGTTAGTAGATACTTAAAGAAGGTAAGGGGAGCCAGCTTTCTGAAATGAGAACAGGCAGGTAGTGATAAAGCTGCCTTCACTTTTATGTTTTGCTTTCTAAAATTTTAGCAGTGGGAAAATTCATATTCTGGCTGCTGCAGCTGGCGTTAACAGCTACTCATGCAAGTGTAACATCTCAGGGAAATTGCACTTCTTGGATTTGTGCTACTGTTTCGTGCTGGTTGTCTTGGAAGTAGGAGTAACTCAAAGCAGAGCTGAAGAGTTTCTACCTGGTGATTCTTTCAGAGCCATCAAAATAAAATGGCACTGAACTCAGTGAGAAAACAGAAATAGCTTGATACTGCCTTGAAAGAAAACCAAACACTTCTGAAACTCAGCATGTTTGTTCATTTTAAGGATTTGCCACTTGAACATTGACTTTATTTTGCACTAGGACATTAAATGTAAAGGATATTGTTTGGTAAATAAACTGATTTAGTTAAGCATTGTTAGGTAATTTCAGGCTAAAAACAGCTCTTGATAGCCTTTAGTGAAATCAACTCCTGCCAAATGCAAGAAAATAAAATAGTGCCCATCCCCAGCAGTAAATTCCATTATTTCAAGAAATTGTGTCCCAGTGAGGCCAAAACTGAGCTTTCCAGTTGGAAATGGAGAAAAGCAGCCTCAGAAAGGATGTGGGCTGTACTTGTTTCAGAACAGGAGTTCAGCAGGGGAAAAAAAAAATCCTAAGTGTTAGTGTCACGTTGTTTTGAAACAAACAAAATGCATTTAAAAGGAGATGTTTTGTTTGTCATTAGCACTATAAGCTTTTACATGGGAATGTTTTAGGTTGACAGCTTTTGTGGGAAACCCCAACAATTGTCTGCCAGCTGTTAATTTCAGGCACTCTGAGAACAGCTGGTCTTGGAGCATCTCCTCCTCTCTGACCTTCCTCATCTTCAGCAGTGCTTCCTCTTCTCTGTTAAACACACTTGACCGTTCTAGAATTTTCCCTTATTATTTGAGGGAAATTATAATTATTATAATTATTTGGGGCAATGGTTGTGTAACTCAAGGGCAGTATTTTATCTGTGGATTGTAGTTTAAGTTCACTTAATAAGAAGTAAAAAATTCTAGAAGCCATTTTGGCTGTCTGAAGATAGATCTGAATGCACGTGTCCATTCTTTTTCTGCAGAAATATTGTCAAAACAAGGTCTCTGCTGGTCCCTGTCAGGTCTTTCTTTTACGGTGCCCAGAGGAAAGAAAAAAACCAAAATGTCTCAAGAGCTTAAGGACCCAAGTATAAAATTAGTATAATAAGTATAAAAATGTCAAAACAGATGAGGTGTTTCTGGAAATGTGCAGTATATTTTGCTTGCTGCCTTTAGTGCAACTTCATACAAGTTGCTTTGGCCCTTAGTCTATATTATCAGGAATTGTTTTTATCCACTAAGATCTTCAAAAAATAGCCAAGATCATGGTGAAACTTTATGTCTTTACCTCCAGCTAATGACAGTGTCTGTGCTGAAGGGAAAAACTTTATGTAGCAGATGCTTGTGAATGCTCTGTCCCTGCTCTGGAATCGCCAGTAATCCATTGAAAATTCCCTTCTACCAAAACCAGAATTTTCCCCAATCTTACTTTATTTTAGAAATGAGAATACTCTGATCAGAGTCTTTCATGATCAGCACTGATCAATTGTACTGTGGCATTTGCAGTTGGAAGGAATTCAAATTTCCATTCACAAGCACTGGTGTGTCACATGAATGTTGTTCAGTGATTCTGAGCTCTGTCAGCACCTGGCATCAAGTGACCTGAGGAATGTGTTCATTACTTCCAATGACAATTGGATTGTCTCTCTTTTGCAGTTTCTGACAAGTTTAGCTCTCAACTCGGGGTTATTTGCCATCTGAGTTGATGAAGCTTCATAAGTTTTGGAGGTTAATTAAGGGAACATTTCAGTTGTACTTGCCAGTTCCATTTATGGTGGGCTGTGTTTTATTTAAAAAGGTGTAAAGCTTCATTATTGTGTAAGGATTTATATTGTCTGTAGTTACTCACAAAATCTAATGGTCTGAAAGAATGAGAAAAGCAGTTTTAGTTTAAAAAATAATATTTTTTTCATTTCCATGTTTTGTCAGTGTTAACTTAGGTTTTCTGATCTGTTTAATCTGGTGAATTTCATCTTTCATTTCATTACATCAGAGAAGACTTCATGAAATGACTATAAAGGCATATCCAAATTTCTCTCTATTACCATGGAGAGCTGCAGTTCTGGCCTTTGTGGCTGGACCCAAATGCACTTTAATCCAGGCAGCAGGAGTGATGCTCATGTGCCAGCTGTGCCAGCTCTGCTTCCAAGGGCATTGTCCCAGCCTGCCCAGCTCTGTCAGGGCTCACTTTTCACAGCCTGCTCCTGCCTAGTTTGATTTAGTTCTAGTCACACAATAGAATTCCTGTTTCCTAGGTTTAGGTGTAAATTTCCCTGAACAGCATTGTTTGTAAAATTTTTGTGTCTGAATTGTTTTGTAAAATTTTTACATTTCTTCATGTCCTTTTTTTGTGAAAATAGGCTTCTTACAAAATATTTACAATCACTATAATGCGAGTATGGAACTTCCTAATAGAAAATACTCATAAAACTCGGTTGATATTTGAGATTACTCCTCGGAATCCTGGCAAGAGGTACCTGAATTACATCCACCACAGTGACTAACATTTTGACATGTACAGATGGACCTTTGACTTTACAGTTTGTCACATGTGACCTCTGTATCCTCGGCTGTAAACACCTGGAATGTGGAGGGTGAAGCTGGAATCTATTTGTGCATGCAAATTTTTGCTTTTAAATTTCACTATAAATAATTTTCATACCTTAAAATAGTTCCCCACCTGTAATGCGAGTTGCCACTATTGGTACAGTTACTGCATTGTATTGGAATTATTAAAGTATTGGAACTAATTTGAATTAAAGATTGTTTATGAGTTTTGGACCTTATGTAAAATATTTTGATATGTACTGTGGGGAAATAAACTAAACTGTTAGTGGAGATTTTAACTTTCCTCTGAAATTGGGGGAATATTTTTCTCCTAAATACTGAGCGTAAAGTATTTTATGATGGTTTGCCATCATAAATTCAATAAAAATTGAATTTTTTTTTGTTGATGGAGCTGCTCAAACACACCCAATAGTCAAGAGTGCCAAGGAAGCTGAATTTCTGTCCTGCTCTGCCACTCTTTGCTGGGAGTGACCAAATCACTTTTGCAATAGGTAATTCAATATTCTGATTTTCTTTTTGACTTGTGTCTGGCAAATGAAGGCAGACTGATCAGAAGGCACATTGTCAGACTTTGTGGGAAGTCAGGATTTGTGCTTCTCCAGGAAAACACGGGTTTCCCTATAGCCCATCTTTAGTCCAGTGCCATACTTTATTAGGTATTAAAAATGCGATCTGTAATAAAATTGAAAAGAATATATTGATATGTTCATGTTTTAAGCAGTAATGGCTGTGGCTTGTCTGAAATGGCCTAGACTTCATTTTAACATCCAGTGACAAAGTGGGAAGGCTGTACAAACGTATGGTACTTTAATTAATGGGGGCAATACTGAGCTTTCAAAGTCCTCTGGAGCTTTTGTCTCTGTTGGAACATTGTGCTGTGAATCTTCCCTAATAGTTAAAGCAAATGAAGTAAAATAGCCTTTGGGCTATTTTGTTACACTGTGTTGTTGGGGAAAAAAATTAATCCTGTGCCATTTTGCATTTGCTGTCTGTGAATCAAACTGTGAAAGCTAATTTAAAAACTTTCACACTCGGCTTGAATGAGGACTGTCAGTGCTTGGAGAATGTCAAATTGAATGCAATTAGCTGGAGTTGGGCTAGCCTGGATAAACCCATCAGCCTCAGAGTGCACAGCTTTAATGACTGATCTGATAAACTAACACAGAGGTTACAGGAAAGAATTTAAAGGCGTTAAAGTCCTGCTGAAAACTTGCCCTGTGCAGAAGAGATCTTTGAAACCAAAATGGTTTGTACACCAAGGGGCAGAGAGGTGGTGAGACCCTGTGGAAAGTTAAATACAGCACAGAGGTGCATCCAGGAGAGGGAAACAAAACCACTGATGAACCTGCTCAGAAACAGTAAATACATCAATTATTTAAGTATTTGTAAGTTGTTAAGCAGCAAGTTACCATTTGTGGTTTCTGAAGTAGTTGGGTGTCAAAGACGTTTGTAAAAGAGGCAGCTGGTGGAGCTGTGGTGGAGTGAAATCTTGGAATGTTTCAGGGAATGGTGGCACTACTGCTGTTCCAGGTTGGGGAGATAATGGGGTTTTGAAGTTCTTCTCTTAATTGGATCTGTTCATCAAATGCTGCATTGGTCTATAATGGGGACATGGGATCCAAACTTAATTGATAAAGTGAATTCCATACTTG